TAATTCAGATGGTATTATTTCTGCCACTTTGATTCATAGACACATATTAGATAATCTTATTTTTTACTGTTTTCATAAAAGGGATTTGCCTCCCGATCAGTAAGAACCATCACTAGGCCCTCAATAAAAGTATCAAAAATATGATGTTTTATAAATCGTAAGCTGTGACCCACAAGACTGACTGACCTTGCATATATTAAATGGTACATGACTACTTTTAATTAATCAGAATTTGGAGGAGTTCTGTGGTGAGTGCTTATGAGTGACAGAAAACTGAGTTTCCATGAGGCTGGAGTGCAGACTCCGAGAGTCCCAAATAAAGCTCAACACATTAGTAGTTTCTCACAACCTTCCCACCTCCACCGGAGTTTTTCTGACCCTTTCCATTCAGTAGGCCCCTCTGCCAGAAGAGGTCATGCTTGTATCTATTTTTACAGTGTTATGTAAAGAGGAACTTAATTTTTTTCTCTTCTTTACCTCCCATATAGAATTGGGATATTAACCTTCTTAGAAGAAACAAACTAATTCATGGCCCAGTTAGACAGTTTTAGGATGATAGCCATCTCTGCCCTTGGGCTGAAACATGTCTTTTCTTCCTGGTGTCTGTGGGCTCTTTGGAAATCATAATTGTGATTGTGAGTTTTCAAGTAACTTCTGGATGTCTGGTCAATGGTTTCCTGCATGGTGAAATGATAGATGGAAACTGGGCTCGTCTTATAATTCAGAGTGGGCATCTCCATGGGGTCATTGTTCAGAGTAACACGTAAGAAATCCAGGCAAGAAGAAATACTGAACCTGTCACTGTATTTGAGAAGCTGATTTCTAAATGGCAAGCTTACTGTACAAGGTGGAAATGGGCTCCAACTGTTTCCATTTTAAAATAGGTAGAGCATTAAACCACCAGTTAATGTTCCAGAACAGTCAGCAAGAATGCTGTTGGAAATTATAACAGGAAGATTATTAATGGAATACGGGAAATGAAAAAAATGCTAAATTAGGCAATGCTCACCTAAAAGACCCAGAGCTTCCTTCTGAGAATCAGTTTTCCTGTCTTTACAAGGTGGGACATAGAATGGAAGATATTTAGAGGCATTTCCACTCCTAAAATTCTCTTACTTAGTGAATTTCCAGCCTAAAACTGTAGCTCTCTCCGGAGCCTCTGACAGCATACGAGGTCGCATGTTCTCGGGTTAGGGTTAGATGCAGTAAGAAGAATCTCAGCCCCATAGTTTATCACCTATGAAATGTGGGAGAAAACATCAAAGCCCACCAAACCTCAGTCCCCCAATTTGTAAATTAGGGATAGCGAGGTTAGAATGAAGATTAGATTACAGTATAATTAGAAGAATATTCCAGTTATTAAGGTATGATTTCAGCTCCAGACCAACCCCTTGGTCTGATGAAAGTATTGCCTCCACCCTACACTTTTTTTTCGTTTATTCCAGGATGGACTGAAATCTTTCTTCTGACAAAAATGGAACAAAAAGGAATATCTCTATAATGGATCAAGATCTTTCCTTGACAAATTGACAATAAAATCTTGGCAAAAAGAGTGAAAAAGCTCTTTATATCACAAATTCAAAAAACTCATAAACCACATAAAACTTCTTAAGACAATAATATTAACATGTCTACAAGAACAATCAGATTCAATGAATAATTTGATAATCTTATCACCTGCTTTCTCTGAATCCTTCAATGACTCTTCATTATTTATCATTCATTTAAAGTTATCTAGGAGGTATTTTTGTTACCTTGCACTTCATGATTTTGGCCTTATCTAATATAATTAGCCCTACATTCTAATTCTGTTTCCTAATAGCTGTTTGCCTTTTGGAAAGTTATGATTCTTTTATATATAAAAGAATATTTACAGTGTGCTAATATCCCCTGTGCTACACTGTATGTTCTTTCAGGCATTACCTTACTTAACACTCTTTGGGGTAGATACTATTTTTTTTTCTATTTTACATATGAGAACACTCTCACATTCAGTTTTGAGATAAAAATGCTCACCATAAAAAGCATTATGTAGTGAATGGTCTTATCTACCAATTACAGCTCACTGCTAAGTGAAATAAGACAAACAGAAAGACAAATACAACATGCTAACACTTGCATGTACAATCTAATCAACTCAACTCATAGGAGCAGTGAGTAGAATGATAGTTACCAGAGGCTGGGGTTGGCAGGGGGAGGGGTCAGAGAGATGATAACCAAAGTTTACAAAGCCTCAGATAAGGGGAATAAGTTTGAAGCTATTGTACAACATGGTGAACACAGCTACTACTGACTACTACACATTTCAATATCATCAAAAGAATGGATCTCACTGGGTGTGGTGGCACCGACCTATAATCCCAGGTACTCAGGAGCCTAAGACAGGAGGATCACAAGTTTGAGGTCAGCTTGGTCCATTTGGGAGATCCTGTCTCAAATTTTTAAAAAAATGTGCTGGGGATGTAGCTCAGTGACAGAACACACCTGGTTTCAATCCCCAGGAAGACAAATCGGGGGGTGGGGGTGGGGTGGGGGATGTTCTCATCACAAAAATTTCTAATATTTGAAGTAATGGATAGGTTAGTTCACTTGGTTTAATCATACCACATTGTATTGGAAAATCATAACATCATTTTGCGCCCCATAAACATAAATATATATAACTGTAATTTGTCAATATCTAATAAAAAAGAAAATGCAAATTAAAAGGACAAAAAGATACCGTTACACCTCCAACAGGATGGGCATATAATTAAAAAGACTCAACATCATCAGTTGCTAAAAATTTAGACAAACTGAAGTCCTCACTTTACTGCTGTGGAAATATTAAATGGTGCAGCCATGCTGGAACACTAGCAATTTCTTAAAAAGTTACATGTATGCTTACCTAGTAATTCCCTTCTTACTTATCTCTCTAACAGAAATGAAAGCATCCTTTCACATAAAGACCTGTGTGCAAATATTAATAGCAGTATTCTTCAAAATAAAAAAAAACTAGAAAAGGTGCAAATATCCATCAACTGGCAAATGGTTAAACAAAGTATGATACAGCCTCACAATACAACACCACACTGCAATAAAAAGTACTGGATTACTATATATGTCACAGCATGAGTGAACCTGATGCGTAAACATAACACCAAGTGAAAGACATTCAAGAGTCTAAATATAAAAAAAAAGTCTAAATATCATGTGATTCCAATTATTTTCTAAAAATCTAGAAAAGGCAAAACTATGGAGACAGAAAGCATGATCTGTGGTTCCTGAGACTGAGGGTGGGAGGAGAAATTGACTACAAAAAGCACAAAGGAATTTCTTGGGAGGTGACAGAAGTCTTTTAAAATTGGATTGTAACAAGATGTGGTGCCACAGGCCCATAATCCTTGCACCGGAGAGGCTGAGGTAGGAGGAGGCTGATTTCCAGACCAATTTGGGCACTGAATTACAGTGAAACCCGGTCTTAAAAAAACAAAGAACAACAAAAAAAGAAAACTGGATTGTGATGAGGGCTCCAAAACTATTTGCATTTATCAAAAATTGTTGAACTATACACTTATATTGGGTGAATTGTAGTGTACTAGTACACTACAATAAAACTACTAAAACTTTTTTTAAAATAAAAAAGTAAGAAAGCAACATTTAACTCAGTGACCCAGGCCTGCTCAAGGAAAATTAGCAACAACTTCCTCAGGGCTCCCCAATACCTTCCTTTTCTTCTCTATGGTGCTTAGAGCATACAATACTACACAGCAGTTGCCTGTGTATCTTTTTCTATTCACATGAGTGTCTTGGGGTCAAGAACAAGGCCACTCATTTTTCTAAAATGAATGCATTTTTAATATTCAGTAGATAAATGCTGAACTGAAATGAAAAGTTCAAGGGGCAGGGGTCACTGAAGATGCCAGATGCCAAAATTGTTGATGTGTCTTAATTTTATTCTGTAGCTTGCTTACTTCACTCTGAGATTAGGAAACTTTCTCAAGGTTTGCCTCTTCTGGCACTGATTGTGAGGAATGATTTCTGTGGCTTTTTCTCAAGGTTCTACAAATCCTCCCCACCCCTGCTCGGGACTGTCAATCAACAAGATTCATTAAGTCTCCACGGGGTGAGGACAGGAGTAAGGGCTGAGATGAAGATGTAGCTGCCCCAATCCCTTTTAGGAAACTCACAATTTAGGATGCTACAAGTAGAAATCAAAACATCTATGAAATACGTACATAAACAGCATGAAGAAGACATCTGGTTTTTTTCTCCTCCTTTATTCTATAGCTCAAATAAAAATCCTGTTCTCATTTTCTACCCTCCAAATATTTCTTGAATTATCAATTTCCAATCTCTGTCTTGCACCTTTCCACTCATATGCTTCCAAATATCTCCAATCTAGCCACTATTTTTAAAAGAATGTATGGAATTATATTACTGTCACAAACTTGAATCATTCTGAAATGATTTTTAATGGGCAGGATTAAACTTCTGGCATAGTAAATGAGTAATGCTCATTTTACCCCTATTGTGGCATAGTATCCATTTGGTGGCTACCATGAAGTAATCTTCAGCATTATTTAAATGTTAGAATTTGGTATTTTTTAGTATCTAACATTTTGCTTCATTTAGTACTAATTTTTGGTTAATACTGAGAAGGCTTGCTTACAAAGCAGGGAAGTTGATATAAAGTGGAAAACTAATTCCCTAAGAATCCAACAAGATTTCCCAAAAAGTACATTTCAAGGTTTTTCCTTTGTTCTTTTCCCAAGACAAAGATAAGAATATTATATTCTTCAAATCTTTGAACTCTGAGCTCACCTTCATTGAGTAGTCCACATTTCCGCTTAATTATATTATCATATTTCTAACCCTTATTCAAGTACACACATATATATTCTTTTCTTTTTTGAACAGGAGACAGAGAGGTCATTTTCAAGACACTCAGTGAACTCTGGGTGAAGTAACCTAAGGAAGAATCCATTCCCCTACCCTCACAGTTGTGTGGAGACACTTACACTGAAGTCATACAACACACCAAAGTTGGCTGCAGATGCCTCTTCTGCTCTCGGAACTGTTTTCCTAGGTAAACTGCCATATGGCAAACCCCAAAGGTACTATATGGGGAAGAAAAAGAAAGAGCAGTTAACAATTACAATCAGCCACATATGTGATCACAAATGGTTTTGTTTAAAAGCCCTCCTGAAACTATGTCATGGGGACTCTGTGGCTCTCCATGTGGGGTCCCATTCTCTGCGAATCTACTAAATCTAGAGTTAAGAACAAAGGGACTGCTAAGGACCCTACATCCTGAGCTCAGTTCACCAGTGGGGTGGGGTGGGGACAATCATAGTCACCAGGAAACCAACTGAAAAGCCCCAAGTTCCCACCTCAGAGTGGCCTGATTTAGAGGAGGTCTGGGAAGGAGAGAAGTAGCCTACGATAGTGTTGAACAAAACTGTATGACCCACACCCTCACACAGAGTAGCATTTAGAGGTGGGGGTAGAGGGAGAGTAGCCCCCTGACGTCAAGGATGGGAAGCCTCATGAAAATCAATCATGTCATTTGAGGATGCTACCACTAGGGAACACTTGCACACTGATTATGGAATCTGCATCATCCCTAATGCAGGGTTGTTTCTCTGAATTTGTGCTACTACATGACTGGCAAGAAGCACATTTGGGGAGAATAGTGCTGGAGAGCAGTTGGCAAGAATAAGGTCATAGGAAGATGTCTTGGTGAGAACTAGGAAAAGCACCCCTTCAGTCATGGCTTGCAATATAGAAGCTGCTTCTTCTGTGAGATGGAGTCTTCTCTCCCCTGGGGCTGTGGGAAGAAGCCAAATGCAGTTTGAACCCTGGGCGCACAGTTTGACTAAGCAAGGGCTGGATAGCTCCTCCTCATTCCCTCTGTACAAGAGACACAGTCTTATAATGCAGCCTTTTCGCTCCTCTGGCTTCCTGGTCTGGACAGAATAGAAGGTGTCTTTACACATACTGTTTCACCCCAAAGGTGGGAGTCACAGAGAACACAAAGCAATTAAGGTCATGCTTGTCCATGGACACTGCAGTTTGAGGCAAAAGGGCATGCTCCTCAGAGCACTGGAGAATTGAGGGTTTGGGATAAAAGCAGCCAAAAAATACCACCATGGGGTCCAGAGATCCCCAGTCCTGATCTCCGGTGGTTCTGTAAAGTTAACATACAAGGAGCACAGCTTCTATTCTTAGGCAGGAAACAACAATCTTACCTGGAAAACAGGGTACCCTTGCCATTTAACACAAGCTTATGAAAAAGCAACATGCTCTCTGGCCTCAGTACATCCCATCCAACACACATTCCCTCCATCCTCTGCACAGTTGTGTAATTTCACAAAAGTAGTAGCGGCCTTTCATTTCCTCTACACAGAGGCAGTAAGCTGTTAGCAAGAGTAACTGCAGCTAGTAAACCTTTGTTTCTGCCTGCTTCAGACACAGTGATGAAGGGAAGGAGTTTTGGGTTTCTTTAGTGAAATCAGCAAAAATGAATCTGGGGTTAATTTGAAAGAGATGAAATACACACATTCTGTGGCACTGCCCAAGAGTTTTCACTTGGGAGAGAAACCATACAGGACTTCCAATTCACTTCCACTTCTGGTATGAGCCAAAAACCCTGACATGCCCCCAAATTAGCACAGGAATTATAAGAATAGTTCATTAAAGTATCAGATCTGGGAACAAAGATACAATCATGGGTTCTAATTCCAGAGCAACTTAAAGGGAAAAAAAAGAATCACTAAGTCATGTAGCCATAATAAGACTCGGTTTCCACATGTTTTAAATGAAAGAGCAACCTATCTCATGAGTTTGTTATGCGTTTCAATATGTAAAGGAAGTGAAAGTGATTTGCACTATTAAAAGCTAATATCTGTTTAAGATTAGAAGGCATTCTTATCATTCCAATAAGGAGGCTAATTACAGAAAACATCATAGATTTAAAGCTATGCAAAGTCATTCAAACACCAAATTTAGGCTATTGCCAATCCTGTATTGAGTAAATTGGTTTTTGAAACACTTCAACCTGAAAATGCCCTTTATAGAGTAAACAAAACGTCACTCAACTTTTATATGGCAAGTATTCACAGAAGGCAAAGTCACTTAACTTCATGGAGATGAAGGCCCCAGACTCAAGCTGGCATATTGGCCTCTCTTCCCACATCAGCTCAGGGCTCTGCCTTCTTCTTTAGTCTGGACCCTCTGTCTGATTTACTCTCTGACTTTGGTCCTAAAAGACTCCACCTCCACCCCACTCTCCCCCGTGAGAATGTGTACATCTAGGGAGGAGGAGGCCTTGGTAACCTACGTAATGTCTGGAAGAAATTTCTTCATTTTGTGTTACTTCACTTTAGAAAACCTAGATGCTTACAATTGTATTATGAAGCATTTATTTTAAAGCAAATTTGGCAAAAGAAATAAAACTGACAAAGTGAACAAAAAGAAAAACAAACTGAGAAGTTGTTCTTAACAATGGGTACAGGGATTCCCACTGTCTTGGGAATCTGATAGAAGACACGAACCTTTCACATAAAAGTACACAATGAAACATACATAAATTTTATATATAATTTTGTGAAGTTTGTGCACCCTTGGAGAAAGGATTAGGTCCTTCATTCCAGGGGTACCATTTAGAAGGTAAATCTTTTTGTTTGTTTGTTTTGTTTTTGTTTTGTTTTGTTTTGGTACTGGAAATCAAACTTGGGACCTTGCACTTGCGAGGCAGGCACTGGAAACACTGAGCTAAATCCCCCCCCTTAGAAGGTAAATCTTGTTACAAATCCTAACTCTAACAAGAAGTGAACATAATCAAACATTCTACTCTTAATAAATACTTTAAAGTTTTTCTGACAGAGTGGTCACATGAGCAACTTTTTTCGCTTTGTCCTGTAAAGCAGAGATCGGATCTCACCTCTGGCAACATGATGAGGCTGAATGTCAGGATGAAAAGAACCATATTTACTCCATACATCCATCTCAGGAAGAGGAAATACGAGGCCACAGAGGACCCAAACTGACCTATGACAAAGCAAGGTAAAAGGAGGGGTCAAAACCAAATAAAACAAAAGCTCAATCTTAGTGGTCCTCCAAGATAAACATACATACTGAAACACACTGGTCCTTTCCAAACTGTTTGCAAACCTTAGTCTTCTTTCTCCAAGAAGAGAGTATGTTGATCATAATGAATGTGTCCTTATAGTGGAGAATGGAGAAGGTACATAGAGTATATTCGTGTAGTCTATAACCCCATCTTGGGCCCCTCAAAGGGAAAATTACCTTTTGCTTAGCAGCTATAATTCCTCCCTGCAGAGCCTATTTTACTCTCAATTAATACAAGTAAGTGAGAAAATGTATATAAAATAATAACTATAGTGTCCTGACTGTGGTGAGTTAAAACTACGGCAGTTATCTTCCATTTTTCTCAGGAAAACTATGTCCTTCTCAAAAGAGTCCACCATATCTGTCATGGAAGGTTCTCTTACAGACTGTCCTGGCTTATTTTCCCTCACTGCTACATTTTTCAGAGACTGTAGAAGTTGAAATTCACTCCTCACATCTTTCCTAAGTATTTTCTGCCAGGAATTATCTTAGCAGAGAGCACAGTTAGCCTAGCTGAAGCACAATGGCTGCTCTAAGAACTCATATTTCAGTAAATGTGAAAACAACAAATACGATTATATTTATATATATGAAGATTATATTAGATTCTTAGATAGATACAACATACATAGATAATTATAGCTAGATAGGTCCTGCAGGGGAAGAAGGTATTTAAAGCAATTGCTTTGTATAAGTTTGTGGAGGAAAATATATCGGAGAAAAAGACAACAGAGCAGAAATCTGAGGCATAGAGAACAATGTGCAGAGCTGGGGAGGAGCAGCACAAGCAGAGGAAAGAGCCAGAACAAAACTCCTGAGAGAGGCAATAGCTGGGGGCAATCAAGGAACAAAGCTAAGGCCCAGTTGGAGTACAAAGAATGAGAGAAAGTGATGACAGATGGCCAACCGCATGGGTGCAGGGCCTCCTAAGGCAATATTGAGTGTGGGTTTCATTTAACGTGTGATGAGAAGTTGTTGACAGCTGTTGAGTAGTGAGGCTGCAGAGGGGTGGGCATGGGCATGACTTTAACAAACACTTCAGCTTTGAGGAATGAATTGCAAGGCCACAAGCAAGAATCACCTATCATTTCACACCTGCCAAAAACAGTGCAAGGTGTGGTGATCTACCCAATTCTCACTGACTGAAGAAACTGATGGTAAGATATAGAAGACAGATAAAAGATGGATAGATGGATAGACAGACAGACAGACGGATAGATAGATAGACAGATAGATAAATAGACAGATAGATAGATAGACAGATAGATAAAAAGCATCCTCCTAAAGTTGAAAATGGAGGAAGGAACAGAACTTGTGAAGTCTCAGGTCAAAATGTCATGGATCGAGGAAAGCCAAAATTTCTTTGGTGGTCACTTATGGTTCAGCATCAAGTTCCTATTGTTCCTAAATCTTCCCAATCACCATTTTCAGCTCCCCAAGATAAAACAAGGGAAAGCCTCAGCCACCCCCTACATCAGCTCCTTTGTCTTGTCTAACTCAGCAAATGCTCTAATTTTTCTTGAGCCCTTTGGCCTTGAAATGCTCCCTCCTGGGATATATTCCTACAGGAGGAGGAGGGTTTGTGCAGAGAAAACTCCAGCTTCTAATTACCAACCGGAGGCTGACCTCACAGGAGAGCAATACTTCTATTTCTAGACTGTGGTCTGCTCCTTAGGTAACATTTTACTTTTTACCATAACAATGTGGCAGAATTTTTTAGAAACTGAAAAAGAAGTCAATCTCTAAATGGATATTCAGAAGAAATCAATGATTTTGAAGTCTGAGCATTTTTTTTCTTTAAACTCAAAAGAGAAGTTGAGTTCATTTCACATTATAGAAGGTCTATCATTCTAGAAGATTTCTAAGATCATGTACTTTTGAAAAATATTTCCTCTCTAGGTGCTGCAACCACATGCATGAGTCTGTCGACAGAAATTTGAAAGCGAATCTGTCCCTCTTAGGACATCTCATCGCACAGCTGGCTCCCAGGGCTTCCATATTGGCCCATGACTGTGACATATGTTCTCTGGGAACAACTTCCTCAGGGCTGACTGCCTGGCCAGGCTCACTCACTGTGCCTCATTGAAGGCAATGGGCTTCCAACTTGTTAGTCATCAGTCACTCATTTACCAGAGGAGAATCTCAATCTCTGGAACCACATGTGAAACCTTCTGGTACAGAATCCCAAGCCTGCCTGCCTTCTTTTTTTCTGTCTTTCCTTGTTCCATCTCCCTCTCCCTCCCTTTTTCTTCCCTTTCTTCCCTCCCTCCTTCCCTTCTTGCCTCTTTCCTTTCTCTCTCCCTCTTTTTTCATTCTTTCCTTCTTCTTTTCCTCCTTCTGTTCTTTCTTTCCTTCTTTCCTCCCCCCCTTCCTTCCTTTCTCTCCCTCCCTTCCTTCCTTTCTTCCTACAATTTTGATCCTTTAAATATCACCATGGCCCACACTCTTTCAGACCTCATACATAACCCCTGACAAATGAATTTCTTGAATATAAATTTTACATGCAAAAGAGAGAAGCAAATGAAGATGTTTCCTCCAACACCCACATTCATTATGGATAAAATATACTTTATAGGCCCAAGATTACAAACTCCACTTTGGGGACTTGAAAGGAGCTTCACGACTATTCTTTTTGAAGGTGGATTCTTTAAACAGTCATAAGTATAAAGAAATGAATTTTAGTAAAACAAATTTCATTAAAACTAGCATGATTTTATAAAAGACACATACAGATACAGGTCAAAAAGACTAAAGAATCCAGAAGACAATGTTCCCTCTACATTTAACCTACAAATGGCAAAAGGAAAGCACAGTAATAAAACAAAGATATTGAAATGAGGGAAATAAAGCAACTGGTTGATTTTAATGCTCCGTAGGACCTTTCCTTGTATCAAAACAAAAATGAAAAAGAAATCTGCCTCATTTATCCTAGCAATTTTATCTAACTGGAACTTGTTGACAAAAACTGATGCTCATAAAAACCAAAAACCTTATATAGTGTGGCTAAGAAAGCAATAAAAAGAATATTCATGCTTAGTCTCTCAAATAAAATCAATTTATTCTTGTAAAGAACAAAAATAAATAGTAATAATAGCTAACTTATCTTTATGGTCGATTATGTGTACTAAGAACCCAGCAGCATCCACTCATTGTGCTACCACTAAAACATGCTGAGGTTAGTGAGGTTATTGCTCAGAAAACAAAACTTTAAAAACAACAGTTGACTGAACTAAGAGTTGATAATGATAACAAATAACATTTAATATTTCTTTATTTAAGACTTCTCTTTGATCACTGTGTTGTAACTTACTTAATCATCATTAAGTCCTTAGGAGATGGGAACTATCATTGTGCCATTTTATAGACTTGGGGCTGTAGGTTACATAAACAATGGAGGTAGGATTCCAAATCAAGCACTCATCATCTACAGGTGTGTTCATCTCCAAATCTAGATCTCTCTTAATCACAATGCTTCAAATAAAACTACACTTAAATTACATTTTTTTAAAAAAAGATAAATACAATAAATATGGAATGAATGTGCCTGTCTGAAAGAATAGATAAGTTGTATCAGTTAACCAAATTATTTGTATCAGTTACTCAAATTCAAATTTGGATCATACTTGTTACACTCAGTGAGAAAGAACCAACCAGAGACCGATATTAAATCCACACAGGAGTTTATTACCGGCTGGGACCCAAGCCGAGAACTGGACTCCAGTCCCGACTGGGGGGAGACAAACATGTTTTATACACCTTTGAGGCCAACAGTTTCTAGGCCCCCCTATGGGATAGAACTAGTAAAGCAAGGGAAAGGTACAGAAGCAGAACGTCCTGCCTTTAGAACATTTGTAAAACAATAGTTGATTGTTGTTTCTAAGAGGCTCTCTAAGAGGAGGAGGTTTCTAAGCTTCCTCCTTCTGAGTTCATCTAAAGGGCAGGCAGGTGGGTCAAGCAGCAAAATGGAGTCTGTTTTGCTAACTAGAGTCCTTCAATACTCATGATAACCAATTTTTTAATTACTCTAAATGATAAGTGCTGCTTTTATAGTAAGTGGTTGATGTACTAAGGCAGTCTTACAGGTGTATTAAAGTAAAAATTAAGTTTATGCATATTCTTGATCTTGAATTTTCTTGTGTTTCTTTCAAATTAAGGCTAAATTTTTACCTCTCCCTCTGATTATTTATTATTAAGCCAAAGTAATTTGTAGTCTGTCATCATATATAATTTCCTCTTGAACAGATGGGTAGTAAGACAAGCAGAGAAATATAAGCATCCGTATATGGGAAAAGACCAATTAAATGACCTGCTGTGTGAGTACAACAATAAAGAGAATTGTGTTAGACTAGGATATGAAACACCATTTTTTCCAACAAGTCTAGGGGAGGAGAATTAAATGTAAAAATTTTGATTTGTGTTTCCTGGAGGTCTGAGAAATATAAGGTCTAAACTCTGTGCACCAGGTTCTCTATTTGAAGCCATTTCTTGTCTGAAAACTAAATCAACCACACCACATTTTTGGTGTTGTAATCTACTATTAGGAAAAAAGAGATTTTGATTCTGAGAAAGATTTATCATCTCCAGTTTGAAAGGTATTCAATTATTTAGTCGATGGTTTTGTTGTGTTTTTTTGTTGTTTGTTTTGCTTTGTTCCTGGGGGTCGAACTCGGGTCCTTGTGATTGCGGAGCAGATGGTGGAACCACTGAGCTAAATCCCCAACCCTAGTCGATGGTTTTAATAGTAATATTGGCATCATAGTGGGGATATTTTATATTTTCATGCAGGTTCTTCAGCAAAATATGTGACTGCTAAGATGAATCCATGTGGATGAGCCTGGGGCTTGGGGCACGGTCTCCTTTACAAGGCTGGCAGGCAAAAGCCCAGGGCTTTCCCATGCACTGTAGAACTTCACAGCTTCCTCTGTGGCCAGAATTATCAAGTCAGTGTTTTAAGTGTGTTGGGAGTCCTCTAGTGAGTATCTGCTCCATGTTAGTAGAGATGAAGGTCTTACTGCAATCAAGATGATACCAGCATGGGATTCAGACTCTGCCTTGTGTTCCTCTCTTGATTCTACCAGTTATTGATCAGGGCTTTGGGGAAACTCAGTGAAGGCTGCTCATTTGCGATTCCATTAAAACCACACTTTAAAAAAATGCTCATTATTTATTTAGAGAATGATCAGAGAATGAGAGAAGGTAGATTAAAAAGATGGATGGGAGTAAAATTGTCCCTCTTTTGAACATGCCATTTAACATAATCTATAATGATCTTCACTATCTCTTTGTTTATATTTTATGATCTTCCTCACCCAGCCATACAAACATTAACATATTTGGGTATAGAATCGACGAGAGGAGAGTGTTTGGCTGTCTTTGTCAACAACGATAGTATTCAGAAACATAGCTAAGTTGCAGGCTTTCGGTGAATATTTGCTTAATTAATTAATCAATAATGTCATACTTATTCCAAAGATTAAATTAGCATGTATTTGATGGTTCTGACACTGAAAAGAAAATATAATATTTCTGAAACTTTTATATGATTAAATAATCATTTTTTTAAAAAATATACCATTTTATTACTTTGTAATTAAACATTTCATAAACAGGGCATATATTTCATAAATAGACTATACAATTAACAAACTTTGTTCTGAAAAGTATGAGAAGGTAAATGAGCCTTTCATATAAATCTGTTCTCCATTTAAGTTTTTCAATAATTTATCACTGAAAAGTATAAAGAATTTTACATGCTTAACTATACATCTAAGACTGATTTAAAATTACACATCACGGACTGTTGGGCAAGAAATGATCCTGTATACTAACTAATCAAAGCTCCAGATTTCATATGAGACCCTGAGTGTAGAAATAGCCAGAGATGGAAAACACTGCCCAAAGAGTAAAGCCCTATGTACAAAATGAAGGCACATTATGAATGTTCAGATAGCAAATTTCTAATTGATTATTCCTTATTCTTTTTTATAAGTCTGAAAGGAAATTTTAAGACTTCCTTACTCTATTTAAATATTATTCATTTTGGTTACTATCTAATATTTGTGAGAATATATATTTTCAATGTCATGTTCACTGCCAAAATGAAACCACTCCTTTCCAAATAATATGATTCAATGTCATTGTACATAATACTGATGTACCTGTCTAAGAGAAAAAAAACAGTTCAGAATGGGAATGCTTTGATCTAAGAGAGGACAGGGGAGTGCAGCCCTAAGTGTTATCCTTGGTGAGGGCTAGCAAATTGCTATGGTTTGGATCTAGAATCTTCCTCCAAAGGCTCGTGTTGAAGGCTTGGTCCTCAGACCATTGGAAAGTGGCAGAATGTTCAAAAAGTGGGGTCTAGGTGGAGGAACATTGCTGGTGTACTCTCTGTCTGATTTTTGATTGCTCTGAGGTGAATGGCTTCTTCTGCCATGCTTCCTGTCTTGATAAAATAAATCACTGTAGACCCAAAGCAGCATGGCCAAGTGATCGTGGACTGAATACTTTGAAACTATGATCCAAAAGAAACCTTATTTTATTTTAAGTTAATTATCTTGGGTGTTTTGTCACAGTAACTGAAAACTGGCTAACACTAATCTTCACAGTGGTCAAAAGAAAAATAAACAATTCTCTAGTTTAGTGGGTTGGATATTTCTGCTTATTTTTTAATTTTCCCAAGAGTCCAGAAAGGGAAAGAGTCCAAACGTAGGGAAAGGTATTTTATGAAAAATTTAGCTCAGCCGACTGTCCCCATCTAATGAGATATGATGAGCACTTACTTTCAATTGCCTTGATTTTATTTTCCCATGGGACACAAGCAGCTTTGAAGTTCTCAAAATCACGGAGGAATTTTGCCCATTTCTGAAAAGGAAATAAAGTATAATAGTATGGCCCAACCTCTTGGGTTGCCCTGATATCCCCCCCTACAATCACAATATATTGCACTTAGAAAGATTTCTGTAGTCCCAAATACTGCTCTTTTATAAAAATGCAAAAGAGTAGGTCTCATTTTCCTTCCTCATTTCCATCAATCTCAGACCAATTTAATTCAAGAAATATTTATTGCCCCCACCCTAATTAGAGAGAGTATGCTGACCACTTGGAAAGGTCTGTTTATCCTACCAAACAATAAGAAACCAAATACTGCATTAGCACATAATAAGAGACATAGCATGTGCTTAATTACTATTCACTGGATGAAAGAATTAATTAAATATAAATAAGATATAATATCTGACTTGAAAGGTATCTGATCTGGAGTAGACTGTATATAAACATATAATTTCAATGAAGTACAGTAAGTTCTATGACACAGAAAACTCCATTCTGATAGAGGCAGAGCAGTCAGTAAAATGGAAAGGCATGGTATCATAGACAAAGAAGGAAGAAAAAAATAACAAATTAGTTTTACAAAAGATCTTCCTTCTATTTTACTCCATGGGGCTGGGTTAATCGTGGTGTAGCGCACCATTAGGAAGAATGAGGATGGAGCAAATAACTATGCATGTGCATAAAGTAAAAGTGGTACAGACACACCAAGCCTAAATAACAGTATAATCAGAAGCTCAAAACATTAACTCAAAGTACAAAGGGCCCAAATGTCTGTCTACAGTAGTATAAGTAAGTAAATAATTTATAGCATCTTCATCCAATGCAATACAACAGAACAATAAAGATGTAGTGTAACTCCCACAGCAACATAAATATATTTCATGATGTTAATCATTCAACAAAGAGCCAGAAACAAAAGTATAAATAATATATGTTCTATTTTTAAACTGTAAAAGACAAATACAATTAGTCTATTTGTATGTGTATGAAAATTAAAATCTATGAACTTTATTCACAAAGCTCTATCTTCATGAAAAACATTTAATTTACATTTGGTATAACATCTGTAAAGAAGGGATAATAATACCTATGCACCTATTTTGCTGTGAGAATTAACTATCAATTTATCAAGGGATTCAGTTCAGGGCTTGCCACATAATAAGTACAAATGAATGTCATTTTGTTTTTTACTTTTCCCCCAGATCTACATTTGTATCAGGACATCATTAATTTTTTTCTTAGTTTCTATCCAATATATAGTTGATGTTCCTGAGAAAAGTTATATAACCCTGAAATGTGTAGACATTTGAAGAAGGAAACTAACCAGAAACCCTTAACTTTCAGAGGATGAAAATGAAAATGAAAAGGGCCCACACAATCTTTTACACTTGGAAGTGATAAAAATCATGCAAGTAAGTCTCTTGCTATAAACTGGTGTTTGTCAGTTTATTTTTTATCTTCACTCCACTAGGGATAACTTTGAATCGTCCCCTCCAGATACACTGTAAGTATACTGTATTTATACTTTATCCACAAAACCTGTGAGATCAGCTTTCTATACCCTCAGAACAGACACAGTGTTCTTCCTATGGAGGTCACTATGGCATAAACAGACTGATTTCTCACAATACTTACCTTGGCCATCATCATCTTAAATGCAAACCACTGCTTTCCTTTTCCTTTCCCAAGAGCTCCTTCATTTTCACTCACAAATTTTTTTGCTTCCCTGAGAAAATTTTTTTAAAAATAAGAGATAAGTTGGACTGGGTTGAGATTAATAGAACATATAAGTTGTAAACGTGTGTTTTTATTAGGTCTCCATTCTTACTTCTAAATCTTCTACCCTCACCCTAATATACCCTAGTATTTTTTTTTTCTGGTACTGGGAATCAAATTCAGGACCCTGCACTTGCCAGCCAGGCACGGTGCCACTTAGCTGCATCCCCAGCGCCCCCCCCATTTTTATCCTTGTATTTTATAACCTCAAGAATCTTAATGCATATTTAAATTTTTAAATTCTGGCCTAGGAAAGCAAGATATTTTAGTCTCACTTATTAATCATCTGGGGTCATCGAAAAGCAAGGGATTTATGCTAAGTGTCAAATACAGAATCCTAGTTCTCATTTCTACCACATACAAACTTGAAGCTAAAATTAGTGTCAGATTCCGGCAATCAGATGGTTTATTTTAAAATACTTTTTTTCCTTCTTTTTAAATAATTCCTTTGACAGAGAGAAAGCAGAGGTTAGGACAAACTGACATAGAACAAACTTAATGACCTGATATTTTAATCCTATAAAAGCAATTATGGCTTAAAAGAAAAAAGTTATGCTATAAAGCAAATGGGATTGAGGAAAGAAAAAGAAAGGAATATTTTTGACTTTACAATCAGAAAGTGTTTTAAAGTTAAACTTTAATATTATTCTTAAATATTGTTACATTTATAAAAGTCATGTTAGGGCCAGGGATTTAGGTCAGTGGTTCCGCCGCCTGCCTCACAAGTGCAAGGACCTGAGTTCGATCCCCAGTACCAAAAAAAAAAAAAAAAAAGTCATATTAGTGTCTCTGTGAATGTCTTAAAAAATATTTCATCAAAATGGACAATTTGAACATGTTAAGTATATTATAATTTTTATGACGTTGCTTGGTCCCTGTTATGGACTGAAACCTAATCCTCAATATGATGACCTATGGAAGTAGGCCCTTTAGGAGGTACCATCAGGGCATTGCTTAAGAACAGGGATATATTCTGACAGGAGCACATTCTGAAGGGGATGCACTAAGAAATGCATCAATTTCATCATTGTGCAAACATTACACAGTGCACTAACACAAACTAAGACGGTGATGACATTAATAGGCAAATTTAACCTTATCAAACCCCAACCGTATATGCAACCTGAAATGTCATTATGCCATGCATAGCTGTAATTAGGTCACGGGGGTGGAGCTCTCATGAATGATGCCCTCATAAGAAGAGGCCAGGGAGCTTGGTAGCCCCTTTCCACCGTTCTTGAAGATACAAGAACTTGGCTGCCTACAGCCTTGAAAGGGCCCTCACTATACCCCAACCACATTGGCACCCTGATCTTGGACTTCTCACCTCCAGAACTGTGAGGAATAAATTTCTGTTGTTTAAGCCATCCAGTACATGGTAGTTTGTTCTCTCATCCCTAATACACCTATTTGTGTTGATGTTTTTTTGAAACATGAAAAGAACATTAAAGACAGGTCATGTGTGCTTTTCTTCTCCCTTCAGAGGGTGCTGAGCATATGAGCTATGTGAGGAAGAGGCACCTCTATCATGATAAGAAAGTGAATTCAAACCTGGTTGTGCCACTAGTCCAACACTGTCACCATTTGATGATCCAGCAATGTGTGGCTTCACAGACAAGACCTTGACATATGACTATAAATGAACTTCTTATTAACACACAAAGTAAACCTTAAAAGATGAAGGATCAGTGAAGGACTTTTGTTTAAGATCTCACTTTGCATCCTTGCTAAACTCAGGGTTTTACACCACATGTTGATCAAAAAGCAACAAAAACCTGTTGACTTACCGGGTCCCAGGGAACAGAGCCTCATTACAAAACCTGTACCCATGCAGCCACCTTTATTTTGGTGTAAAAACACAAGCACAGTGGCCATGGGGTTCTTCAGTCATCAAACAAAACCCCCAAAGCTGTTCCTTACTGACCAGGGCAATACCTCAGCCTTTTATATTGTCATGGTATCACCCAGTCCCTTGACTATAAGAGGTGCTTAGTAAATGTAAACCTTTTGGAAATAGAACTGACAGTATACCTAGGGGTAGATACAGATGGGAAAGAAGCTGATAATTTTATTAACATCAATTAATGCTTGAGAGGAAAACCATTTTCAGGCCTTTAGATTTTACCCTTTGTCATTATTCTCCAAACCACAAATGGCAGCCTTCTAAAAATGAAGAAGAGTCAATAGACTGGCTGTGTGTCAAATGCCCTGACATTTGACATGACCTCAGGGTGCTGGAAAGATTAATTGAGAAGAAATTTAAAATGTTTGACAAAGTCATGTCAAAAATTATAAACTGAATTGTAATAGCTGATTTTTAGATACACACAATGAAGAAAACATTTTTGTATGTAAGCATTAACTATCAGAGAGGTGACAAGATCAGAGAAAGGCACGAAGGAGACACTTTAAAAAATGTTGAACTGATACCTCTAAAATGCAAATCACTTAACTCCATTTCCAAGCAGCCTCCATGATGTGTCTCTGTACACTTTTCCCGAGTTCTGAGCCTCTCTGTACCTATGTTCATGAGTGTCTTGCTTCTCAAAAGAAACGGCATTTCCCAGGGACTCAGACCTGAACTGGGTCGGGCACAAGTTTTCCAGGTTGCTAGGTGGCTTTTAACAGATCCAAATTTCCCAAAAAACAAATGGTCAAGCAGGCATTTCCGTGCTTCACAAGGTGGGAAGCAAGAGCAAGGTAAGAGCAAAGCTTGCTTCAAAACTTTAAATTTGTTCCCACATGATTGGTATATTATAGAAATGATTTGAGCGTAACATGAATTTGGGTGTTGCTTCATGTGATTCACTGGGTGAAGGCAGAAAGCAGAACACAGGTAAACCAAGCAGTATAGGAAGACACAAGGCGTACACACATCTCACACACTGGCCACCTCGCTTCCCTGAACAGGTTAGAAAAGATACCTCACCTTGTGTTACAATGACCCTTGCTCCTCATCACAGTAACTCAACAACTGCAATCCTACTGGAGACCACTTCCACAAGAAAACTTCAGGTTATTTTCAAAAATAAACTCACAGTATTTCTCACAGTATTTATGTACTTCTTAACAATTTACCATGTAAACATTGATCTTTTCATTAAGTGCTTATCTGTTTTTGTTTCATGTGTCACTGATGATGTTTCTGAGAATTGTGCCCCATTCCCATTTTTCCTATAAAACTTATGGGTTTTATTGCCCAATTTTATAGAGGGGTGATTTTTTTTAGAAACCATTACACTGTTTTATAGCAGAACTAACTATAATTCAATTATTTGGTGTCAAGAATTTGAAAACTTATAAAACGAAGTATGCAATGGAAGTTATTACTTGCCTTTATTATAGTAAATACCTCTATATATTAGAGGCATAATAAATGCCTCTATTATAATATATAATAAATATCAGCCTCTATTATAATATATAATAAATATCAGCCTCTATTATAATAAATGCATATAAAGAATCAAAAACTTCTTAGTAGTAAAATCAGAATTTGTTTTTCAAATGTAATAAACTCCCCAATTTATGGGTATATTCACTACTCTAGATACTTAATATTTAACATAAGGACATTCATTTGGGCTTATTAGTGTTATATAACTTTCTAGGTGACTGGCCATTTAGAAAGAGTGACTTTTTTTCTAAGCACTCAGAAGCGTAAGAAATATCAGTTTTCCATATTTTTGACCTGATTTTATTTCCATGAGCTGATAATTAAGTTAATTTTGTGAGATGATAATCATTAAACCAACAAAACTTAAGAAGAAAGTCTTCCAAATTAAACCGAATTACCAAATTTGGTAGCCAAATTAAAATCCTTACAAAATTAATACCAAATTCACTGAATAACGTAGAACCCTATTTACACAGCATTAATAAGGTTTTTGTTAGTTATAAATATAATTTTGGTTTGAAAAATATTTAAAAACTTTTATTGTTTGTTTCTTTATTGCTAATCCTTAACACTAGATATAACTTCAAATTTGTCTTTGCATTATTGTCCCACACTACCTTCAATATACATACCCTGACTGATTTTCAGAAAAAAAGTCCAGATTCCCTCTACATCATATAATCTCAGGTATGAAATTCTTTTTTCCTCAGTGCCCTCCCCACTTTCCTTTCTCCACAAGATTCCTCCACCACACATACAAATTTTGTACCAAAGGGATCCCTGAACAGTAATTCTAGCTCCTCTGCAATCCTTACTCACTGCTTCAAGAAGGGGGGGGGGGGGCGGATAACTATTACCCTCATCAGAAATCTTGGAGTTGCCTTTAAAACAGACCCCATAAGGTGGGCAGAGAATTGTTTAGCAAGAAGGACATCTCAGACCCCCAAATCTGATGCTTGCAAGTCGTAAGGAAACAACTCTTGCAACTTTGCAGACCCAGAAGGAACAAGGGCTGGATGAGTCAGTGACTCAGTAAGACAAACATGCCTCACCACTGTTTTCGGGACTGGCTTTTGCATTGAGCTGACACGATTTCTATATGAAAGAAAACTAGTATCATCCAATCCCATCTTCCCTAAGGAAAAATTTCTTAACCAGAAGACAACATCTTTCATTGTACAATTAGAAACAAAGAACCAAAAAAATGCATAATATGGTGCTAAATACTGACCAGTATGTATCACACTGAAGTGTCAATGACAGGTAACAGAATGGAAGAAAATAGTCGTTAAAAAAAAAAACTTTATATTTTTCCTATAATGAATCCATGTTCCTCTCCATTTGTATTTATTTGGGTAATTTAAAGGGGTTTTACTACATGGCTAAAATAAAATAGGGGTTTTATGAACAAGCTTAGAATAACTGCTGGCCCTAACCCATCCAAAAGTCTGACTGAAAAACATGCGTCATCCCCTTGAATTGCATTTGACAAAAGCTGCCTGCCAAGGCCGTAATAGAGTGTCCAAGTCTCAGAGCCCAAACAAGCCCTGGTA